TTTGTGCCATTTTCTTTCTACCTTTAATACAGAAAAACAAAAGCAAAACCATAAAGTTTTTAATCTACAGTTGAACAGTTTCACTCTGAAGTTTGTTGCCCTTTCGGTGTACATTGGTGTACGTTTATCATGTAAAACTTGAATTTCATTGTCCTTAACTCCTCAAATCTTTCAGCTATTTTGTTTATGTTTCTCTACTAGGCCGATATGAGCTAATATCTCATTATATCTGTATAGTGGAGAGACAATCAGATTGCACATTAGATCATACAGTGCTTGTGTATGTAATAAATCCATTTGTTCTTAATGCTACGAATGAGCGCAGTATATGCTTCATGTAGCTGGGTCATTGTGATGTCAGAAGCAGTTCAAAACTTTCTGGTAAACATAAAACCGTTTCAACAAAATGACGAGCTGCTTTTTTATTTTCACATCGTTTGTTTTTTCTGCCTTACAATTAGTGCAAACTGGATCGTTCTACAAACACATTCTTTGTCTACACCGTCCATTCCCGTTACAACGACAGCATCGAGTCATATTTAAACTACAAGCAACTACAATACTTACTTACGTGGTGTACCTACAAGCTAATTTACTTAACTATTATTTGCTTTAAGCATAAAGATAAAATATTTAAAAATGTTTATATATTGTATTTATATGGAGTATAGAAAAATATACGTGGTAAATTATATCATGCATGTGCATGACAGATACTTTTATCTTGCAACTTCACGATTATACAATAATATACATAGTATATTGTAGAAATAGGAAGTTACCACTGAGAAATAACTGCATGCATCGCTGATATTCCTGAGTAATCGCTATCGCTGATATTCAAGAATCAACATTTAATCATACCATTTAGGGGCTGATTACATGGACCGGGATAGCACGTTTACACAGCAAACGATCACATGAGTGCATGATTTCAGCATGATAGTTCAGCGAAATTTTTTGAAACAATTGTGTAAATGTCAATCCTTCCTAGGTTTTAAAGTATGATATTCGTTCTTGCAGTTTAAGGCCAGTTTGCCGGCCTCAAACGAAACTTCAACTAAGCAGGGGAGTGGCAAACGAGCTAGGATTGGAGGGGGTGTGTCACGTAATATTGTCCCACTTTTAACAATGGAAATGAATATTTGTGTATGACATGGGTGTAGGAAAGTGGTCAACTTTTCTATGAGTATCACGATATAATATTCATAAATATTCATTTAAATATTCATAAATGCTAAAATAAATGTTGTTGTATTTTTGTTCAATTTGCTTAAATTTGCTTACAAATAACAAAGCAATTTGACCAACTTTTTATCATCCTGACAACCCCCCCCCTCCCCAATCGCCACGCCCATATCAACAACCCGAGCTGGCCCGCTTGACAAAACCTCAGCTCGAGCTGACCCGGTTGCATGTAACCGAAACGTTTGAATTGACTATAATAAACTAACTATAGGGAACGTGCCAGCCTCGCCCATGCAATCCGCCCCTTACATCATGACGCGGGTTCACATCACTATGCATGGCCCTATTCGAAGTAGAGCAAGAGGCCTATTGCAAGATACACAAAAACGAGGCTATTCAGGTTTTCTACTGCAAAAATTTCAGAATAATTTCTTTACTTCTAAATTTCGATTGAAGGAAACATCGTCTTTGTATCTTCTGAGAAAAAATAAATATGATTTTGATATTCGAAAAAAATAAGATCTGATTATTGCCTGACTACACCAAGAAATTGTGCTTCGCCACAGGCTTCTTCCTTTTTTTCCAAAAGGTTTATGCACTTTATCTTTCAGTGGAGCTTCAAAAAATTTCTTTAGAATATAAATATAAAATGCTAAAAACTGTCCTAAAACAAAAATATCCTTCATTTTGCCTCGCTATGAAAAATTTTCCTTTAGATCTTAATTTCTAATGGAAGAAATCATATTTTCCTACATAAGGACATAAACACCTTTAACGTTCAGGAAAATAACATAAACAATTGAAAATATATTCCTTCAGTCACGGCGTAATTTTTTTGGTTTCTTTCAGAGCCTTTTTTTTACTTAAACTGGAAAAAATGTAATAATGATCCATGTTAATTATAGAAGGATTTTTCGTTCATCGTCTTCCGTTAGGAACAGTAAAGCAAGTAAAGAGGGCTACTATACTGAATTCCTGTGTGTAGAATAAACTGATCGCTTAACAAGTAAGAGGCTGAATATTCATGTACGCTTATCACAAGTACACAAAGGAAGTATGTGAATTAATCGATCTCACACGCAGGTTTTAAAAACACACCGCAGGAAAATCTCTTGGATACAAAATATATTTTAAAAATATATTTGTACTAATATTACACAGTTCAAACGTTTTCATAGACGTATTCCGTGTTCGTTAAATCCGTTGACTGTTAAAGTTAATTGGCTTTTTTTCCAAAAAATATATATATCAGACAATTTGCGTGCGTTTCGCCGTTAAAAAACAAGAAATTCCGTGCTCAACAATTTACATCACGAAAGGAAAAACTAAAAAAAAGTTTAAACGATTTCCGTGGTTTTCGCATTTCAGGACGTTCCATAGCTGAACGTTTTGATTTACGCGTGGTTTTCGCATTTAAACAAGAAATCGGATTCTAAACTACTTACATCAAGAAAGGAAATCTTAGAAATACTTTTCAATATTATGAATTTTGTAATATTTGTTGCCATTTCTGTCAACGAACAGAAGAGAACGCGTTGATGGAAGAAAGAAAGGAGGTGGATAAGGAGGAAATACACTGCTAGAGCCGAAGAGGTCTGAACGTGATCCCAATTATTACTCGAGCTCTAGGAGAGCACGAGTCTAGGTTTCGTCGTGTGTCGGTCGCGTTTTGGACCTCGATGACCCAGAATGCATTGCGCACTTGACTCAGTAATGTTGACGGAATGTAATTATCCGACAATACAAGCCACATTTTACAAACAATACGGCAAAATATATATGCACAGAAGCATTTACATGCATATTGATTGGTGCGATGTATATTCTTAAATTCCTATATGAAAGCAAGATATATGATGGATGTTTTCGCAGTGTTATAGACGTACAAATGCTTATAAATTATACTTATTTAAAATACCTAAATGTTTGAACCGTCGACTGACATTACGAACAATACGAATCAATACTATTACAACCAGTTTTTTGAAAGCTTTCGTCGGAACTAAAACACTGCAGTCTGCAGGACTTCAATATAGTAGCATTGACACAGTAATATGTCACGCCGTGTTGATTTTTAGGCTACCTATAATCGGCATTTGTGAATTGTGATAATAATGTAAATGTATTAGTTATACTTGTGTGATACATTTTTGTCGTGTAAGTCCTCTCAGGCCAAGGGTAACCACAAAGCCTTAACTTACGCTATAGGTTCCAACAACACGCCATGATTGTGTCCCTCAAGACAGTCAAGTAATGTTATCAAATCCCTAGAACACAATCCCTAGAGCACGAGTGTACGCCTAAGTCGGGGTCTTGTTTCAGGTAATATGATCAGCATCCCCCCACTAAATTTTGTACAAAAATAGAAGTAGGTGACACCTTTATCGCCAGCTCTTTTAACACCTGCATAATTATAATGAATTACAGGAAAGTAACAATACGCATGCAATACAAGTTGGCAAAGCACAGCATCCCAGTTCAATTGTGCACCCATAATGCATATGTAAAGCTGTAAAAACAAAGGATAACGGTGCTGCATCCGTGGTTCCAGCATCCCTGGAAATAAAACATTTTTTTACCACGCCAGAATTATGACCGAGCGAACTTGAAATGAATCTGAGAGAACTTGCTATGAAAACTATGAATCTGAGAGAACTTGCTATGATGATATATATGAACTCGTATCCTACATGTATGTCAAAAGTCTCTTTATCTAGAAACTGTTGTTTGAGTTTGAATATCTCAGCCATGTTGATGTCGTTGTGTTCAAAGGAACAGGAAGCTTTTTGCAGTTGCGGTGTAATTAATTGTATAAAATATGCAAGATCAAACAAGCACACACCACGTCATATTAATAACCACTGCTTAAGAAGCTACGAGGTAACTTTGTCTTTGGTAATTTATATTATTGGAGAATGTAAACCACATAACAGATTTTTAACTGAAACGTTTTATTGATAATTGCTGCGGAGCGAGCGAGCCTTAAAAATAAATATTAATTCACTACCTGTGTTCAATCACTCAAAAGTAGAATTTTGTTATTGAAGAGTAACAGGTTTTTTAGCCATTTTAGCGTTTAAGCTTTAAAATTACAGAGATATATAAATTTTTTATGCATTGCTGGACCGTAATTAGTAGATTTTATACAGATTTTACAGAGTAAATAGATTATTTAGGGCCCTGTGTGAGAATTGGTTGGCCCACATAGATTTTAACTGAAATGGTTTTAATTCCAATTCTTCTGTATATTCCACACACACGAATGCTTGGGATATCCACTATATTTTACAGAATAACACAGAGTTTCAACGACTTGTCCAACATCGGATATTTATGATCAATTTGGTCAAAGCCTTTACCTTTCTCTGTATGCAACTGTAATAATTAAATTCTTGGCAGGTAAATAAACTAATAAAGATAACGTTCCCAGGGGCTAAACAAAATGCTTTTAGTTGGAGAAGGGATATAAAGACAAGTTAGAACCACTGCCAAAACAGTGTTCGACAAATACCTCAATTAAAGCGTTGTTCAATGTGTTTGTATACATGTATACATGAATATCAGACTATAAAGCTAAAGTGTTCAATTTGTTAATAAAGTCTAAAACTGAACTAGGCAGTTTTTTCCCATCATGGATGTGCAGAACAAATTTTTGTAAAAATAAACAAAAGTGACTTAATCCTACTACTAGATACTCGAACAAGAAAGCATACATCACGGCCATATAAGCAACAATTGCGTCGAGCAACATCCCTTGCAAAGGCATACCGCTATCTTCTCCGCTACGACAGCCTTTTTCCCAATGTCCTCAATGCTCTTTTTGACCAATATCTTTGGATGCATCTCTTGCGTTTCACTGGCAGCCTTTTCAAAATTCGAACCTTCCTGCAAAGAAATGGAAGAGTCTAGCATAGCATCTGTCATAAATATAAATCCAATTTATGCTGTTGTAAAAATCTGAAGCTGAAGCAAACAGTATAGTGAAAACATTTCTGGAATAACTTACTGGGATGAACTGGATGATGCTGCTTAGGTCGTTTTTACCAGACTTCTGCAACAGCAGGGCAGCTACTACCAGGGCAACATCTGATATTTCATCTATATCAAAGTCAAAGAGAATTAATATCAGATATATGTCATAGATGTATCATAGATGAATGGACTATAGACTACAATATTTGATATATAGACTTACCATCTGAATTTTCAACATCCTGTTGACAATTAGGGTCAGTTTCTAGCAACTTCAGATACTGCCCTATCTGTTCATAGCACTTTACTTTCTTTGACATTTTGGCAAGCATTATGATCTTGTTGCTCATTTGGAGAAAGTTGGCTTTGAAGGTATCTTTTATGCTTGATGTAACAGCCAAAATCCTCTCAAATTTTGCAACAATCTAAAAATTTATAACACACGAGTCTGTGCAGTATTATATTATATATCTAATTTGGCAAAAACCAAACTATCTTGTAAAAACGTCTTTAAAGCCTGATACATTTTGCTGTACAAATGACACATTAAATAAGATTGAACATTCACCTATGAATCCTTTTTCAATTCTGATTTCATTTTGTGAAAGGAAATACTTTTAAAGTTAAATAATTAAACAATAATTGTAACAATCATATATATTTCTATGTATACAGTGTAATTGAATATCATCTTACCTCTTTGTTTGAGAAAAGTGCTGGATATTCCTGCTTAATCTCAGCTAAAGGGTTTTTTCATTTATAAATCTTCTCCAGTAGGGAAAGGTGATGGCCATTCTTGATTGGATTTTTCCTGCATCAGGATTCTTCTTGCGGGACTCGCTCTTCATGGACACAACATGGGCTTTCATGGATGCCTCATCTTCTCCCTCAGAAAAGGCTGACTCCCAATTTATCCCCCCTCTTCGAAAAGACTTCTTTACAACTTTGATGTCGCCATCCACCGACTTTCTCTTTCTTTGAAGGACCTGTGGATCCTGCGCATGTTTTCTTTCATCTCTAAATTTCTCATTTCTCCTAAACTTATATTAAGGTAATTTAAATGTGAATGATTTTTTAACGACAGTTTTACTATTGGATAAGAAATAATAGAGCTTATGGCCAGATCCAATGCCCTTATCTTGCAGAAATGATTAATCTTTTACAATTTGTTGGCATATTTGTGTAATTTGGTCCCTTGTCGGGTACCTAAATGATGTATTGTAAAGTTAAAACCTCCCACCACATTCAATATATTTTGGAAACATTATGTTACAACAATGCATGCTCTTGGTTACTTACAAGGTATACACAGAAAAGTGTTCAAATAATCTTGACACAAAAGCTGATCGAGTATTTAAGGGCACTATTGGTCCGTTCAGCTGTGACAACCTTGGTGCCCACTCTATTGGTGGATTTGTGGAATGTTTTAATACCTTGAGGGTATGTAGAGTGTGTATGGCCACAAATGCATGCATGAAACGCGATTCATGGAAAACTCTTTTATTCTCTTGTTGCGAGAAGTCTTCTTTTAGATAGCAGGCGTAGGAATGAACGACAACTGACGTCATGTGAGGCCCCAATAAGAATGTCTCTTCTCCAAAGGCTGCTCTTAAGAAGTCAGTGAAACGCTTCTTTCGAATCGAAACAGTTGACGTTCAAGACAATACGATAAGTCTGAAAAAATCACCAGATAGCAGATGTATGCAATTGTATTGCTCACTCATTCTCTGAAAGCTATCTACTTCTAAACTATTTATCAGAACATGTTTATTCTTACAAATCAGGAACATTATAATTAATCATCGTGCTCAAATTTGGCAGAAATTGGTCAAATCGTGAGCACTGGAAAACTCTGAAAAGTTCAACGTCTGTCGTCTAAAACAGGGCTAACCAGCCTCAAACAAAAAGCTAATATTTTACAATCGCAGTCTATGTGCTTCCACAAAAAATCTACTCATCACGTGGTACAAATACAGTTTTTTTATTGGACAATTTGAATCTGAGGTATAATATTTATCAGTTATTTCCTCGTGCCGACGAGCATGGTCAAACTAAAGAGCATGATATTTAACTGATAAATCTCTATGTCCATACAATATCTTTTATAGTTTAAAGAGATTAATTAATAATCAATTATTAAAAAAATTAGGCATGTACCTCAGAGGTTGTTGGGTTTATATTACTCGCTTCTTTCCTGTATCTACTTTGGAAATCACCTCTGTTTCTCCTCCAGTCATAGTACAGTTTGCGTCTTCGTGAAAACGTATTACGAACTTTTCCTCCAGCCATTTTTTGGTTTTGAGTCAGGTAGTTCAATTATTATTATTATTATTATTATTATTATTATTATTATTATTTAAGAATATTTTAGAACGGTAGCTCTTCAGGGCTCTTACGCACCTGATTTTCAAGAGGCCGTTCGTTTACAAGTTAAAAACACACTATACTATACAAATATATACAAATAAATTACCAGTTACTTAAGTAAGTACAATAGGCGTCGGAAATGTTTATCATTCTAGAGAATAGTGACCGAGAATTGATCTAAACTTCTGGCTACTCAAGCCTGGGTCTTTAGCCTCTGGGGGTAAATTATTCCAGGCCGAAGCAGCTGCATAGCTTATGCTTTTTTTCATGAAATTTGTATTAGGTTTGTCAAGGCTGAAATCTCGGTTGTTGCTACGGAGGTTATACCTTGAGTTTGTTTTAATATCAAACATATTCGTTGTGGTACTTGGCATTTTGTCATTCCTAATCTTGTGCGTAAAAATTAATTTCTTTCGTTTAAAGCGTTCTTTCAGGGGTTGCCAGTGAAGTTCTTTTAAAACATCTCGTGATCTCGTTTCGTATGTTTTACTAGTGATTACGCGTGCTGCTCTGTTTTGCAATTTTTGTAATTTATCAATTAAATAATCACTGCAATTGTCCCATACAAGGCTACAATAGTCGAAATGTGGTAGAATAATGGCATTGTAGACTTTTGTTAATGTTGTTTTGGAACTAATTTTCTCATTCTCCGCAACGTGCCAATACCTTTTGAAATTTTTTTTGAATGTTTTCGATTTGCCTTTCCCAAGTAAGGTGTTCGTCTATAACAACACCCAGAGTTTTAGAAAAACTTACTCGTTTGATTTTTGTTTCACCTACGTGGATTTCCGGTTCATTTGACATATTAGAGAGCTTTTGTCTAGATCCAATTACCATGTATTCGGTCTTCTCCTTATTCAGAGTGAGTTTGTTAGTCAATAGCCACTGGTGTATGTTCTCTAGGTCGTGATTTAGGGAATCCTGAATTTCCATTGCCGATTTGCCTTGTGTTGAAATGTTTGTATCATCAGCAAACATGCTAACAGTCGATGTTGACAAGCAATTTGGAAGATCGTTTATGTACAATAGAAATAGTAATGGTCCGAGGTTTGAACCCTGCGGTACACCACATTTAACGATTCTTTTGTCAGATAATATTTGATTAACTTTACAAATTTGAGTCCTATTAGAGAGATAAGACTGGAACCATTTAAATGATTTTCTCTTATTCCATAGTGGAAGAGTTTCCTTAGCAAAATACTATGGTCAACACAGTCAAATGCCTTTTTAGGTCAAGGAAGATAACACCGTTCAAACTTCCCTTATCCATGTTGACAAACCATTGATTTGTTATATTAAGGAGAGAGGTCTGAGTGCAGTGTGATTTTCTAAAACCAGATTGTTGTTGTACTAGTATATCATTCTTTTCTAGATAAGTTTCCAGCTGTTGAGTGATAAGTTTTTCGAATATTTTTGCAACGTTAGATAAAATTGAAATTGGTCTGTAGTTACTGCAATCGGTCTTGCATCCCGATTTATGTATTGGTGTGATTATTGCCGTTTTAAAATCATTTGGAAATATGCCTGTATTTATAGACGTGTTGAATATTAGTGTGAGTGAATGTGCTATTATATCAGCTGAGTCTTTTAAAAGTTTGTTAGATATTCTATCATATCCTGATGATTTAGAAACATCGATAGATGATAGGATTTTGTGAACGTCTATTACAGTAACATTTTTTATCTGGAATTGCGAGTTACAGTTGGAGAGGTATGACTCAGGCAATTTTGAAGCTTGTTCCAGATTATTGGCTAAGTTGGTTCCAATTTCGTTGAAATAAGTATTGAAGGTGTTTGATATGGATGGAGCATCTGTAAAACTTTGGTTTTCGTGCTTAACTTCAGAAATAATGGTCGTTTTTGTATTTTTATTAGTAAGTTTATTGATTGTTTTCCACATCTGTTTTGGTTGGTTTTCGCAGTTGTTTAGGGTGTTTGTAAAATAGTTGGTTTTAGTTCTCTTTATCAAAATGTTAAGCTCATTTCGTGCTTTTCTAAAAGCATCATGGATTTGTTTTGATCCAGTTTTCACTGATTTTCTTTTCAAAAAGTCCCTACGATGCATCAAGTTTTTAATCTCCCTGGTAATCCATGGGGCATGTTCACTTCTTACTTTCCTAGTGATCGGTGGTGCATGCCTGTCAGCTACTGTAACATATATATCTTTCCATTCATCCCACATTTCATCCGGGTTATTCGTTACTGAGATTGTTTGCAAATGAATTGCTAATTCTTGTTTGAATTCGTCAACGTTGTAGTTTTTAAATTGCCTTGTTTTAATTATTTTTGGCGCTTTTCGTTGTATTGAGATTTTTCTTTGAATAAATATGAGACTATGGTCGCTAATCCCTATGTGGTCTACACCAGTATTCATGATTATTTCTGGTTTGTTTGTAAAAGCTAGGTCAATTTGTGTTTTAGATGTCTTAGTTACTCGTGTAGGTTCGTTAATTAATTGTTCAAATTGTAGAGTTTTTGTGAGTTCGGCAAGTTTCTTTGTCTGGGAACTGGCATTGTTGTTTACAATTTGAGACCAGTCACAGTTGAAATCTCCAATTAATATTACTTCTTTGTTTTCATTGTCCATTTTCTTAACGAGGTCTTCATATATATTAAAGATTTCTATCATAGAGTCAGGTGGTCTATACGAACAATTTATCAAAAAGGGTTTCGATTTAGGTTTAGAGATCTCAATTGTGATCGTTTCAAGTTCGTTAGACATCAGCTCTTTTCTTATGCTATAATTTATATGAGTTCTTAAGTAAATAGCAACTCCCCCCCCATTTCGGTTCCTGTCTTTACGTACAATTTCGTACCCACTTATTCCGACTTCATGATTCGGAACCGTAGCATCAAGCCGAGTTTCGTTAATACAAATGACATCAAATTGTTGGTTTAAAAGATAAAGACGAAGTTGGTCTAGGTTTTTCACTAGACTTCTGATATTCAGAAGGGCAATAGTAAATCCTTTTAATTTAAATGGTTTAAGCTTATTAGCATTCGAATTTGGTTCGCAGTTGTGGACTTCAGTTTTACTATTCTCGACTGTATCACTATCAGACATTGCTTATATAGTGCGATGGAATGTCTTCCCGAGTAAAACTAAACTGAACAACGCTGTTCACAATCCTACATCTGAAACCATGTTTCCGTGGGTTTAACATAAATACATTTCAAAATAAGTTTTCTTATGTGAACTTCACAGCGTCTAAATTAACAGTGACTAAACATTACGTCTACATCTGGCTAAAATCTTAACAAAAAGCTCGCCTTCCATGCACGATAAGTATCGCAACAGCTAGCAATCTAGTGTTTATTCAACATATTTGACCAACAAAAGCCTGTCTGTAATCGTAACCCTGAATCTGACAAGAGGTATCTTGTCCACAATTTGATTTGCTCATGACATGTAAAGAGAAACAGCCAACATTACATGGCTGGCACATTGTGAGAATTAAGTGTTATATAGTGTTACACAAAATGACTCAACTCAGACCAAGCTATCGATCAGCTATGCATCATGTTGATGTATGTGTGTGTGGCGTGTTCAGTGGCGTAGCCAGCCCGACAATTTAGTCATGCTATGCTAATATTTTGGTGTTCATTGACTGTGAAAACAATGAATTTCTAAAGAAATGAATAATGATAATAACATAAAATTTGCATAGCATGACTAAATCGTCAGGCTGGCTACGCCACTGGGTGTGTTCATCATTAAAATGTCTAAGATTCTAAATGTTAAACAGTTCATCTAATGTTGCTAATATATTGTATTATTTATTAATAGTTTGAAATATTCTCGGTATACATTTTCGGTATGATCTTGAATTGATAATCAATTATTGATAAATATTTTAGGGTGTAGCCGTAGGAACGAGAATGCTGAAAAATTTAATATAAAATGATTCAATATTACACAATAAAAACAATCAAAACAAAGTAATACCTTTTTATTCCAAGTACAAAAGAGCGCGGATATCAGTAATCTATTAAAAGATCGTTTTACCAAAAGAAATATGACGAACTAATTCGTTTGTTTTTTGACCACATAATTCATAAATAACAATTATCAAACCAGTGACAGTTTACTGTCTGTGGAATAAATTCAAGTATTCCTTGACGTGCAAGTGAAATTCCTCAGTTTTCCTGACTGGTCGAAGGTCCGGGCGAGCGGGCGAGGTTAATGAAGTTTATTATTACATACACAAGCGCCAGATGTGAGGTATGCTGCAATCTCATTGGTTGGCTACTAGACAGATATTAGCTCATATCTGTCTAGTAGAGAAAGTAAACAAAATTGCCGAAAAATTTGGGGAGTTGAGTGAAATAGAAATCCAAGCTTTAGTTGATAACAGCACACCAAAATGCACCGAAAGGGCGACAAAGTTTGTGTATATATACGCGCCTCGTCGGCTATCAGGTCATATACGACTCGAGTTCGCAGAATAACTGTTAATTATATGGCATAAGGCATATATTTACAGTTGAAACAAACAAGAAATGCATGAATTCGTATTAGTAGCCTGGTACCACTGCCTGGTACGCACTTGATTAAAAAGTACCAAAATATTGCATTATATAGCTTAGCTAAAACCGTCTGGAGCCATCTTACTAATTTGAATAGCAATTAAATTTGCCTTTCAGAATTAATTTGTGCCATTTTCTTTCTACCTTTAATACAGAAAAACAGAAGCAAACATTGGGTGATTGCGATGTCAGAAGCAGTTGTTACGAGCGCGGTCCTATAAACTTTGATAATACTCGCTTTTGGTTCTGTTTCTACTCGCAACAAACACAATGTGAATCAATTATATTTATATAATTATTTATTCCTTAACTTTGCAATAACAGTAATTAACGTCTCTATAACTATAAGATTATGACCTTAAGAATATAATATATCTTTAAACGTTTGACTTATCTCTGTCTGAGCACAACTCCACAAAGCCTTATCTTCAACTTTAACTCCTTTTGTTTAGTGCTTCTGCTTTTACAATAATATAATATTTAGGCACTGCGGCCTTACGAAGAATGCTATACGCATTTCTCTGCCCGTGTTTGGTTGTGTTCAGACTTTATACGCTTGGCTACACTAAAACTACAAGTCATTTCCCGTACGCAATACAGTGCGTTGTAGCACATGCATTCTGTCGTGGTTTGTGGTCGACACCTTGTTACGTGTTTGTGGGATAAGGTGTGGATAACTATTTGCTTACTCATGCATGTAAGTCTGACTGAAGAGAATGCTATATTATATGAATATATTATATATAAATTTTTATAAGATGATATAGTGATTATACGTAATACAGTTTTCTCTTAAACATAACAGTCTCAACAAAATGACGAGCTGCTTTTTTATTTTCAAATCGTTCGTTTTTTCCAGGCTTACAGTTAATGCAAACTGGATCGTTCTACAAACACATTCTTTGTCTACACCGTCCATTCCCGTTACAACGACAGCATCGAGTCATATTTAAACTACAAGCAGCTATACAATACTTACTTTTGTTGAGTACCTACAAGCTAATTTACTTAACTATTGTTCGCTTTAGGCAAAGAGATAAAATATTTAAAAATGTTTATATATTGTATTTATATGGAGTATAGAAAAACATACGTGGTAAATTATATCGTGCATGTGCATGACAAATACTTCTATCTTGCAACTTCACGGTTATACAATAATATAAATAATATATTCGAGAAATATGAAGTTACCACTGCGAAATCACTGCATCCATGAGTAATCGCTGTCGCTGATATTCAAGAATCAACATTTAATCATATCATTTAGGGGCTGATTACATGGAGCGGGATAGCACGTTTGCCGAGCAAACAATTACATGAGTGATTTCAGTATGATATTTTGGCCAACATTTTTTGGAATCAATTCTCTAAATGTCAATCATTCCTTGGTTTTAAAGCATGACAATCATTCTTGTGTTTTCAGGCCAGTTTGCCGGCCTGAAATGAAATTTCAACTAAGCAGGGGCGTGGCAAACAAGCTAGCGTTGGAGGGAGTGTCACGTAATATTGACCCACTTTTAATAATGGAAATGAAAATTTCTGTATGACATGGGTGTAGGAGATTCGCCAACTTTTCTATGAGTATAAGGATCCTTAAATATTCATAAACACTAAAATAAATGTTGTTGTATGTATATTTGTTCAATTTGATCAATTTGCTTACAAATAACAAAGCAATTTGACCAACTTTTTTTCATGCTGAATTATCAGGGGGGTCACACCCCTCACACCAACCCTCTCCCCAATCGCCACGCCCATATCGGCAAGCCGAGCTGGCCCGCTTGACACAATCACAGCCCGAGCTGACCCGGTTGCATTTAACCGAAACGTTTGATTTGACTATAATAAACTATAGGGAACGGGCCAGCCTCGCCCATGCAATCCGCCCCTTACATCATGACGCGGGTTCATATCACTATGCATGGACCTATTAGAAGTAGAGCAAGAGGCCTATTGCGAGATACACAAAAACGAGGCTAGTCAGGTTTTCTAGCGCAAAAATTCCAGAATAATTTGTCTGCTTCTAAATTTTGATTAAAGGAAACTTCGTGTTTTGCATCTGGTGACATAAAATAAATATGATTTTGATATTCGCAAAAAATAAGATCTTATTATAGCCTGACTACACCAAGAAATTGTACTTCGCCACAGGCTTCTTTCTCCTTTTCCAAAAGGTTTATGTACTTTATCTGCCAGAGGAGCTTCAAAAAATTGCTTTAGAATATAAAAATAGAATGCTAAAAACTTTTGATAAAAGTGTGCTTGACAAAACAGGAAACTAATTCTAAAAGTAAAGATATCCATGATTCATTACTCATTCCAGCTATTTTAGTCCAGGTAAATCATTGACCTAAACCTTCCTTGACATTCTTTTTAAGTAAAGAGGGCTATTATACTGAATTCCTGTGTGTAGAATAAACTGAACGCTTAACAAGTAAGAGGCTGAATATTCATGTACGCTTATCACAAGTACACAAAGGAAGTATGTGAATTAATCGATCTCACACGCAGGTTATAAAAAAAGAACAAGAAAATCTCTTGGATACAAAATATATTTTTAAAATATTTTTGTACCAATATAACACAGTTCAAACGTTTTCATAGACGTATTCCGTATTTGTTAAATCCGTTGGTTATATATATCAGATAATTTCGGGGCGTTTCGCCGTTAAAACAAGAAATTCCATGCTCAATAATTTACATCACGAACGGTAAAACTAAAAAAAAGTTTAAACGATTTCCTTGGTTTTCGCATTTCAGTACTATCCATAGCTGAACGTTTTGATTTACGCGTGTTCAGGACGAAACCCGCAAAACCCGCAGCGGGCGGGTTGTAACGAAGCCAAAGCGATACCGCACCGAACGTGAAACGAAGTAGTTACGAAGTAGATTTGAAATTTGAACTTTATGAACTTTTATTATGTAATTTCGTTGCGTTAAATTAAAGAAAATTAATATAACTAGCTATGAATTTGGATCTGAACAACGCGTGGTTTTCGCATTTAAACAAGAAATCGGATTCTAAACTACTTACGTCAAGAAAGGAAATCTTAGAAATACTTTTCAATATTATGAATTTTGAAATATTTGTTGCCATTTCTGTCAACGAACAGAAAAGAACGCGTTGACGGAAGAAAGAAAGGAGGTGAATAATGAGGAAATACACTGCTTAAAATATAAGGATTACGAAAGTATCTTGAAGCTATGATTCTGCTTTCCGAAACCTTAACACAATATATCCAATCACTGGTTAAAATAGCGATCAAGTCTGAAGCGATATAAACAGCCCCGTAAAAGTTTCTAATAGGAAGTTCATGCAAATTTTGCACATCATTTGGGAAAGTAATAGAACGTAAACGAATATTAGACGATGTATATCTTGCCAAGAACACTGCATTGCGAGCCGTTTTTGTACCAGATAAAGACCACCAACGAATATCCGGTAGATTCAACTCTCCGGTTGCACGCACAATCCACGTGTTGCCACACTTTAGTTCCCACAATTCATAAGTCAAAATAAAATCAGATAATAAAAACATAACAGCACACCCATCAGAACTTATTGTGACAGAAGGGTCAGTAAACCTACATGACGGTATTTCTTGATAACACAGTTTTTCGTTACAAATTCTTAAAATAGAAAGTTTCCAATCGCCGAAAATGACAAGAACTCCATTTTTAAACGCAAGGACACGTTCAAAATTTACAATAGCTTCTTCATGTTGACTTCCTAAGATATTTTCACTCCTAGGCTCACAACGATATTTAACAACCACACCTTCACAGACCAACCAAAGATACGACTCTGACCACCAACATGCTAATGCTCGTTGTTTCAGTGCAACAGTTTGCAATGTTTTCCCACTATCCACACTTCTTATTAAAAGAAGGCAATTTTCAAAACAGCACGCGACATACAAAGTGTCTGGAGAGAGTGCACGACAATCTATTTCGGCATTGTCAACAAAAGTAGCATCAGGCCATTCGAAAAGTGATTTGAAGGATAAAACAAGTACTAAGTCAAACCTAAGAATAAAAGGAAACTCGTCCCATCTAATTTCAAAATGTTCTCAACACAAGTATCACAAGGCAAAAATCCAATCTCAAGCAAGTCAACGATCTTTTGATCTATGACATCGTACACTACCAAAGCTAAATCATTTTTCAAATCATTTGTAAATGCTACACAATTTCTGTTTTTCCACACAAAAACTTTTGAACAATATTTATTGGAAATTATAACTTTCTCACCAGATGGCAAACAGATATAATTCATTTTCATTTTAACATTCGAGTCGGAAAACGAATGAGGCGGGGAAAACATTTGAAAGGAATCATTACTACACAAATTCTGGTCAACACGAATATTCTTGTTATCAATCTTTTCTAAGGTTTCAGAATTCAAGACAGTCATGTAATCTAACACTGGAGACCTCACCCCATCCTCTGGCCAAAGAAGAATGTACGAGTTACAATTACTAAACAAACAATAAGACGACCAACCATACACATTCTGAACTTCAACCAATATATTCTTGCTTTTTACATCCCACACTTTGATTGACGTTTCCTCTAATGTGACAAGTTTCATTCCACATGAAGAAAATGAACAGTAACTGATGTCATCGGGGCCGTGCGTAATGAAGGGGACCTCTTTCTTTTCTTTAATATTGATGCAGAACCGGATTGAATTGCATAAAATATATGAAGAGTCTGGAGAAAAGGCAGTAAATTCGCGAAGAAGTCTTATAGTAGTAATTTGTGCCTCAAAGATTGTTGTAAGATCTGGTATTTTAAGCATTTGAACTTTTCGCTCATGCGCATGTATGCAAGCAAGCATCGTCTGATCCGGTGACACAAAAATATCAGAAACTGAATCGTCTGTAAACACAGTTTGGGGGACAATGCTTAAATTAGAATTGCCTTCAGTTGTCACATATTCTATCCAAATCTCATTAGTCGTATCCAAGATATCCCTAGCTACACTTTTGGAATTGACGGCTCCTTGTGAAAAATCAAAGTGCCCATTAGCAAGTGCTTGCAAATATACGTAACAATTATCTTTTTCATTAGCCTTATCTATAGGGCTAAGTTGTACCATTTCGAAGAAACAAACGTGTTGAATGAGGCTCCAATAAATATCTTTGGAAAATTTAGAACGGTACATGCCAAGAAATTTAAAAAAAACTGCTCAGCATAAAAAATTTTAGCTTCAAGAAGTTTATACCAACATGCACCAACCAATGAAATTCCTCTACCTCGCCTGTACGGACCAAATATTTCCAACTATTTTCTAAAGCGTACATATTCTCGGCTGAAATTTGGAATTCTAAAACAGACTTCAAAGCATCAATCTCGCAGAATTGTTTCTTACAAGCACGCCAGAGGCGTCTATTGCCGTCTTCAACATCTGCAACGAATGCATGTTCTTCATAACCGTTCAATGTCAGCCAATCGCATAATGACTTATGATAAACAGTCAGACATTGATCATAAACTGGAAGAATTTCTGACATTACGTCAAGAACCGCTTTACGTATTTTAAATTCGTCTTTAGAGAGACCCATGCATGTGAAAAGAACTTTTATTGGGAGGGGTTCCTTAAAAACGGCAACGACATTGATGAAACTGTTTAAGAGACATGAAACATCTTGCTTGAAACGTTTGAGGCCTATGTCTAAACGTTTGAACTGTTTTTCGTAATATCCGGAAATACCGTTGGAGATGTAATCACTTAGGTCCGGTTCAATTCCCACGCCCTTTTCTTTTAATTCACTGACCAAGTAATAAGCGTACAAAAACGATCCCTCACACTTTGAAATAACTGACCTTATACTTTTATCATTAAGATTAGGTAGACTATGACGAACGAATAACTCTATGTCGTGGTTGTGATGTTTGTCATCAGGACGGATTTCCCACGGGTGAAGATGTTCAAGAATCTTTCGTACTTGTAGTTCTGGTCGACTTGAAATGAATATTTTAATCCAATCAGGCAGTTCACAAAATCTCTCAGATATCAACTCCAAAAATTCGCTTTTCTCGTCAGTTTTGCTCTCGTCCAAAGCATCAACGATGATCAACATTGGGTCGTGTCTGTCAAGGGCATGGAGGGGGTCGTTCAAAAGAACACGAAATGCGTCTGACAGCGAGTCACGAGAATGTTCACGACGAAGAATTTCAGTCAGTTTATCACGAAATCCTTCAACATTATCACACATTTGACAGGCAAGAGACTGGAGGATTCTCTGAGGATTGCTGGAATCAGAATTTCGAAAGTCACAGAAATGGTGAGCTGCGAGTTGACCACGTTCTCTAAAAAGCTCGCAAAGCTTTGCAGACAAAACACTTTTCCCAACACCTGGCCCTGCAATTAGGATCAAGACCCTGGATTCTTCACTCTCAAACCAATTTGAAAGTTTATCAAACAACCACTTTCTAGTGCCATCTTGAAATTTTCTACAAAGGTCACGAATCTTTCCAGTGAAGTTAAATTTAGCCAGTTGCTCGACATGGGAGGGATGAACATTTTCAACCGTCTTAGTTAATTTGACTAATTTAATTTCAAAATCGTTTAATTTTAACATAAAATCATCCTCTTGTTGTTTCCACTCTTTCAATCTTTCAATATAACTTTCTTCTTCAGGGCTAAGAGGAGCCACCTTTAATTCATCAATATCATTTTGAGGAATTCCCAAGCTGACTAACGGAACAGAAATTTCTTGCCACAATGTTTCAAACGTTACGTCGTCCAAACCAGCAGTCGGAATATGACCATAGACTTCATTTCTGAACATTTTGACTCTTAAAATATTTGCAGATATAGAAGTATCGCTGACTGGAGGCATCACATTCCATCCGGTGGCTGGTGCTGACAATCCACAAATATTTCGGAGTAGGACAGTCAATAGGGTAATATCAAAGTTGTTTGAATCTGGTGAACCAGATCTTGGGAAGAGTAGATCCCATTGCGAGGCTTTAATTACATTGTATCGTATTCTCTGTAAGGTCGCTCTGTTGGCATTCAATACGCAAGCTAAGGTGGAAGGTGGATGAATTGCATGCAAAGCATTTCTCAAAACATCTCCACCTTTATCTACCAACAAATGACATACCCTGGAATAATTAGCTTTGGCTTTCAATGGATCCATTGTTGTCTTTAAATATCAACTTCACAATCCCCTAAACCAGAGACACAAACTGTCAGGATGATAATTCTTATAATAGTTTTGTTATACAAAGATTGTATGGTTTATCAATTATAAGCTTTTTAAAGTGATATAAACACGTAAAAAGCGTTTTCACTTGAATTTGCGTCTCGTGAAAATATGGAGATCTACCTCATTTTCACTAATCAACTAGCCTGTGCACAGACGAAACGCTCCCTCATAAATTACATCAGTGCACAGGCTACTATTCTAGTGCAGATTTTGGAGTGCCAATACGGAGCATTTTTTAAATATGAAGAATAAATAAATAAATTACTTTTACTTTTGCCTAATACTCAAAAATTTCGAACTTCTTTAACAAGATACTACAAAAAATCATTCTCGAGGACCCGGTAGTTGAACCAAATTTTTAGCTGTTTAGGGCATTTTCTTTCAACGTACATCTAACTTTAACTGAGTACGTACATTAAAAATACTCTGTGCTACAGCTAGATATGTTGCAAAGAATACTCTCAACTAACTAAACATTTTCTGGCTAAACTTGTATCAAACTACGTGGAAACGGGGCCTTAGGTACAACACGTTAGTGCAAGTTAGGCTCGTTTCAGACGTCGAATTTTTCATGTTTCACTTAAGAAAAAACTTAGGTTCATCAACATGAATAGTCGATGTTTGAAAGCCATATATATGCAGTAACTTATTAGAGTTTGGGGGTTTTAGTATTGGGCTCTGCGTTTAAATTACTCTTGAACTAGAATTGTTACTCGTTGTAATAGCTAAGAACGAACAGGTTATAATATGGGAAAGAGACAGTAAATTTCGGCTATTTAAAAATAATATCAAATATATACAAAATCCTATCAAGTCAGGTCCATATCAAAAAAGGAGACGTCTTTGAAATAACAGCGAGTATCAGCGGGAGAATGAGCTCCCTCGAGGAGGCGTGGCTCTGGGACACACTATATAGGTTTTTCCTGTGATGTTTGTGAATGGTTCAAATCGTATCTTACTCACAGATGCCAAGTCACCTCCGTTTATAACAAGCAGTCTTCTGTAAAGCCTGTGAATGTAGGGTTTCAACAAGGAAGCAGCATTCTTGGGCCGCTTTGATTCATTATCTATGTGAATGTGAACAATTTACCCAATTGTATCAAGTCATGTAATATCTCTATGTATGAGAATGATACTGCCGTTTACTTTCCTTCAAAAACAGTCAAAAACAGTCAAAAACAGGTATTGAATTAAACGAGGATCTGGCAAATGTTCAAAAGTGGTTCACAGACAATCTCGTAACCTTGAATGAGAAGAAATCTAAATTCATGCTAATTGGTGGCCACTTAAATCTTGTTCTGGTGTTTTCATCGGTATCAATGGGACAATGTTGGATCGGGTAGATACTGTACTACATTTAAATACCTTGGAATTACAATCAACCAAAACGTTTAAACATAAGCGGGTCAACGTGTAATTCGAAACGTATTCTGAAGAAGACACACGGCATTCAAACAAATGCAAAGGGATTGTGCATGATGCATGAGGATGCAGATTCTTAAGTGATGATGAACTGCGAATTGAATTCCTAGTTTTTTTGCCTAAATAACTCACAGAATGTGCCAATGCGAAGTCTAATTTTACTCGAGACATGCATACCCTGATCAATTTCAATACCTATGCTCTTAGTAACACTCTGTTGTCTAGATGACATTGGTGTAGGGAGTTGATTAATAAAGGCCATTGTATTAAATAAATGAACGTTTTTCGCCGATATTTAACAAAAGACATAGACAAGGCACGTCTAGCTGATCTACATAGATCACGTAAAACTGAACTAGCTGTACGGAGCTACATTAAACTGATCTTTTACTATAGATCACGTAAAACTGTACTAGCTGTAGGCAGCTACATTAAACGATTCTTTTACTATAGATCACGTAAAACTGTACTAGCTGTAGGGAGCTACATTAGACGGATCTTTTACTATAGATCATGCAAAACTGTACTAGCTGTAGGGAGCTATATTAAACTGATCTTTTACTATAGATCACGTAAAACTGTACTAGCTGTAGGGAGCTACATTAAACTGATCTTTTACTATAGATCACGTAAAACTGTGCTAGCTGTAGGGAGCTACATTAAACGGATCTTTTACTCAGTAAATTATTCGCACCTTGACTCAGAGAACTTCTCACACGAGTTGAATAACTTTGAGTTGTCCTCGCTGTAAACACTCAACCAACATTATACAACATTGTGTATAAGCAAAATAATGGTAGATCTCCTCCTAAAATTATAACAGAAACAATATTAAACAAGGATCCAGATGAAATGTTACACACAAAATAGGCACATGAAATGTGGTTCAAAAATGGAGTGTTTAAATCTGTAGTTTTCGCTCCACTACAGACCACATTTGCGTCCGCTTACGTTTAATCTTATATTTATTCAGGAATCAACACTTTACAACAATTCACGCTCTAATACACAACTAAATTACAACAATGATTTTAACCTATATTTATAAGAACAAAACAAGATGCTTTACCAATCAATGATGCATTTCCCTGACGCATATCTTACAGGACTACAGGATGTTTTTCTGTAGTTTTCGCTTCCCTACAACCCATATTTGCGTCCGCTTACGTTATTATGTGGGACTTTGGTTTCGCGGTTGCTACTACGTGCTACAACCTCAAAACCTCCATTTCCTATGCTATATGATACTACAATATTAACATTTACATAACAGACACTTCCCGAATTTGCTTGAGTGCACACAAAACAATAGCTTGAAAACGAGGCGGGCAATGAAATCTATTGTTTATTGGATGGTTTTCATTGCCTGAGAACAAATTCGGGAAGTGTCTATTATGAATTACGATCATAACACTATATATTATAACACTATATACACTACATAACAAATTACGATCATAACACTATATATTATAACACTATATACACTACATAAAAATTACGATCATAACACTATATTATAACACTATATACACTACATAACAAATTACGATCATAACACTATATATATAACACTATATACACTACATAACAAATTACGATCATAACACTATATATTATAAACTATATACACTACATAACAAATTACGATCATAACACTATATATTATAACACTATATACACTACATAACAAATTACGATCATAACTATATATTATAACACTATATACACTACATAACAAATTACGATCATAACACTATATATTATAACACTATATACACTACATAACAAATTACGATCATAACTATATATTATAACACTATATACACTACATAACAAATTACGATCATAACACTATATATTATAACACTATATACACTACATAACAAATTACGATCATAACACTATATATTATAAACACTATATACACTACATAACAAATTACGATCATAACACTATATATTATAACACTATATACACTACATAACAAATTACGATCATAACACTATATATTATAACACTATATACACTACATAACAAATTACGATCATAACACTATATATTATAACACTATATACACTACATAACAAATTACGATCATAACACTATATATTATAACACTATATACACTACATAACAAATTACGATCATAACACTATATATTATAACACTATATACACTACATAACAAATTACGATCATAACACTATATATTATAACACTATACACTACATAACAAATTACGATCATAACACTATATATTATAACACTATATACACTACATAACAATTACGATCATAACACTATATATTATAACACTATATACACTACATAACAAATTACGATCATACACTATATATTATACACTATATACACTACATAACAAATTACGATCATAACACTATATATTATAACACTATATACACTACATACAAATTACGATCATAACACTATATATATAACACTATATAACACTACATAACAAATACGATCAACACTATATATTATAACACTATATACACTACATAACAAATTACGATCATAACACTATATATTATAACACTATATACACTACATAACAAATTACGATCATAACACTATATATTATAACACTATATACACTACATAACAAATTACGATCATAACACTATATATTATAACACTATATACACTACATAACAAATTACGATCATAACACTATATATTATACACTATATACACTACATAACAAATTACGATCATAACACTATATATTATAACACTATATACACTACATAACAAATTACGATCATAACACTATATATTATAACACTATATACACTACATAACAAATTACGATCATAACACTATATATTATAACACTATATACACTACATAACAAATTACGATCATAACACTATATATTATAACACTATATACACTACATAACAAATTACGATCATAACACTATATATTATAACACTATATACACTACATAACAAATTACGATCATAACACTAATATTATAACACTATATACACTACATAACAAATTACGATCATAACACTATATATTATAACACTATATACACTACATAACAAATTACGATCATAACACTATATATTATAACACTATATACACTACATAACAAATTACGATCATAACACTATATATTATAACACTATATACACTACATAACAATTACGATCATAACACTATATATTATAACACTATATACACTACATAACAAATTACGATCATAACACTATATATTATAACACTATATACACTACATAACAAATTACGATCATAACACTATATTATAACACTATATACACTACATAACAAATTACGATCATAACACTATATATTATAACACTATATACACTACATAACAAATTACGATCATAACACTATATATTATAACACTATACACTACATAACAAATTACGATCATAACACTATATTATAACACTATATACACTACATAACAAATTACGATCATAACACTATATATTATAACACTATATACACTACATAACAAATTACGATCATAACACTATATATTATAACACTATATACACTACATAACAAATTACGATCATAACACTATATATTATAACACTATATACACTACATAACAAATTACGATCATAACACTATATATTATAACACTATATACACTACATAACAAATTACGATCATAACACTATATATTATAACACTATATACACTACATAACAAATTACGATCATAACACTATATATTATAACACTATATACACTACATAACAAATTACGATCATAACACTATATATTATAACACTATATACACTACATAACAAATTACGATCATAACACTATATATTATAACACTATATACACTACATAACAAATTACGATCATAACACTATATATTATAACACTATATACACTACATAACAAATTACGATCATAACACTATATATTATAACACTATATACACTACATAACAAATTACGATCATAACACTATATATTATAACACTATATACACTACATAACAAATTACGATCATAACACTATATATTATAACACTATATACACTACATAACAAATTACGATCATAACACTATATATTATAACACTATATACACTACATAACAAATTACGATCATAACACTATATATTATAACACTATATACACTACATAACAAATTACGATCATAACACTATATATTATAACACTATATACACTACATAACAAATTACGATCATAACACTATATATTATAACACTATATACACTACATAACAAATTACGATCATAACACTATATATTATAACACTATATACACTACATAACAAATTACGATCATAACACTATATATTATAACACTATATACACTACATAACAAATTACGATCATAACACTATATATTATAACACTATATACACTACATAACAAATTACGATCATAACACTATATATTATAACACTATATACACTACATAACAAATTACGATCATAACACTATATATTATAACACTATATACACTACATAACAAATTACGATCATAACACTATATATTATAACACTATATACACTACATAACAAATTACGATCATAACACTATATATTATAACACTATATACACTACATAACAAATTACGATCATAACACTATATTATAACACTATATACACTACATAACAAATTACGATCATAACACTATATATTATAACACTATATACACTACATAACAAATTACGATCATAACACTATATATTATAACACTATATACACTACATAACAAATTACGATCATAACACTATATATTATAACACTATATACACTACATAACAAATTACGATCATAACACTATATATTATAACACTATATACACTACATAACAAATTACGATCATAACACTATATATTATAACACTATATACACTACATAACAAATTACGATCATAACACTATATATTATAACACTATATACACTACATAACAAATTACGATCATAACACTATATATTATAACACTATATACACTACATAACAAATTACGATCATAACACTATATATTATAACACTATATACACTACAACAAATTACGATCATAACACTATATATTATAACACTATATACACTACATAACAAATTACGATCATAACACTATATATTATAACACTATATACACTACATAACAAATTACGATCATAACACTATATATTATAACACTATATACACTACATAACAAATTACGATCATAACACTATATATTATAACACTATATACACTACATAACAAATTACGATCATAACACTATATATTATAACACTATATACACTACATAACAAATTACGATCATAACACTATATATTATAACACTATATACACTACATAACAAATTACGATCATAACACTATATATTATAACACTATATACACTACATAACAAATTACGATCATAACACTATATATTATAACACTATATACACTACATAACAAATTACGATCATAACACTATATATATAACACTATATACACTACATAACAAATTACGATCATAACACTATATATTATAACACTATATACACTACATAACAAATTACGATCATAACACTATATATATAACACTATATACACTACATAACAAATTACGATCATAACACTATATATTATAACACTATATACACTACATAACAAATTACGATCATAACACTATATATTTGCGCATACTATGTAAAGGACTGTTTACTTATATGGTTGGTATACTTATTTATGGTTGGTATACTCAACTATGCGTTAACCTAAATTCTGGAACAGTTGTTAATATTTTTTGTGCAAC